CATATATTCAACTCAAGTGTCCTTGCAAGCACAAGGATCTGAGTTCAATCCCTGGTTCTGAAAAAAAAAAAATGTGTCCTTGCTACATACATGTTTTAACAGCTTCAGAAATAATTTACAATCCCTTTCCATAAAAAAGTAAAACAATAAACTATAAATTAAATAAATGCTGAAAGCAAATTGCTAATTGCTTTTTATAGCAATTAACATAGCCAAAATACTGTTATCCAATTCAACATTCTAATTAGCTTCTCTTTCCAAATTGTTATTTCAACAAAGTATTCTCATATCGTTATTTCCTATAGAATCTCTTAAGAGTTGACTGATTGACTTCCTGACAGAAATTCTTCAGTTTCCTTCAAGTAGTTTAAAATTTAATAAGAAGATTGAAGATTTTATTAGTATTACACATGATTTAGTCTACTAACTTTAAGTGGTAGTTTCACTATTATAACAATTTGTTTCTTTCTGCTGTTTAACCTCCTATTTTATATACATTTATAGAAAACAAATTCTTGTATTCCTAATAAGAAAAGTGAAGCCCTGTTAACAAGTACTCCATCGTCAGAGGCTGCTGATTTTGTGGTAAGTATTAGCATTTGGCAGTTGTGGTATTTTTTGGCTTCCCTTTCCCGCATTCTTGTATTTTTCTCATACCAAGAGCATATCCATAGAGAATAGCATCTATATTTTTCTGCTGTACATACATTCACAAGAAGTCAGGGGCCAGGGAGACGGCTCAGTAGAATAAGCGCTTCACTGGCAAGCACATAGGGCCTGAGTTCAATCCCTGGTCCCACAAAAACAAACAAACATTCACTAGAAGTACTCTATATGCTATTCATTTAAATGGGTATGATGAAAATAGTGAAATGCCATGTAGGGTTCTTTTTTCACTATAAAATATATATAACAGAAAATTTAGACTTTTAATCATGTTTAAATGCATAGTTTCAGAATCTTTTTCATTTTACAAAACTTAAACACCACACCCATGAAACAGTACCCCTATTCCTAGTCTTTGGCAATTTCTTTTTTTTTCCTGTCTCTATAAATTTGACTATTCTAGGAAACTCATAAATAGATAAAATCATCAGTATTTGTCTTTTTCATTCATTTTTTGAGATAAAGTCTCACTGTGTTGCTCAGGCTGGCCTTGAACTCCTGTCAAATGATACTCTGATCTCAGTCTCCTGAGAAGCTAAGGCTAAAGGTGCACATCTCTTGCTTGGCAGTATTTACACTTTTACAAATAATTTAATTTAGCCTAATGTCTTCAGGTTCATCTATGGTAGCATTTGCTTTCTAAGGTTGAATAATATTCCATTGTATGTATATACCATATTTTATTTATTCATTTATTCAACTTGAGTTAATTCCACATTTGCCTGTTGTTAATAATGCTGGAGTGAACATGAATATACAAATATCCAAGTCTTTGTTTTCAGTTCCTTGGGTATATGTCCAGAAGTGGAATTTCTAGATCATATGGTGACCTCATTTTTCATTTTTTTAGGACTGTACCTATTTCTCATGGTGGCTGTATCATTTTACAATCCCACTGGTTTTACAAAATGCTTCAGTTTCTTTTTCTTTTTTATTATCTAAAGAGAATACAAGGGCCAGGGAGATGGCTTAGTAGGATAAGCGCTTGACTGGCAAACTCAAGGATCTGAGTTCAATCCCTGGTTCCGCAAAAAAAATAAATAAATAAATAAATAAATAAAGAGAATACAAAATAATAAGAAAAACATTAGAAACAATACAGAATTTCACTAAACAAAACAATAGGAATGAGATAATGGTTGCTGTATTGCATAATGTTGTCTTCAAGTTAGTTGTTCAGATTACCAGATATAAGCATGCAAAATTGGGGGAAAAAAGAAAAAGTTATAAGAAATTTAGGACAAGAAAAAAATTTAAGCATCAACTGCTCTCCTCTATAGACCAGCAAAAATCAGCAGTACAGTTATCCACGCCATCCTGCATACATACATAAATATATCTTTCTTCCTCCCTCTTTCTCCTGTCCTTTTCCTTATCCCAGTTTTTCCTTCCCGTTGAATAGATTTTTTCCCTTTCACAGTATCTATTGTATCTTTCACATTTTATTTACTCTTTCAGGTTCTTATACTAGCAAGACAGTATGATATTTGTATTTGTGGGTATGATTTATTTCACTTATGAGTATGATCTTTAGTTGCATCCATTTACCTATAAAAGCCTTGAGTTTATCTTTTTATAGCTAAATAATACTCCATTGTGTAAAAATACCATATCTTTTTTATCCATTCCTCAGTTGATGGCATTTGGATTGCTTCCAAGATTTAACTATGACAAATTGTGGTGATATAAACGTGGGTGCACAGGGCACTCCCAGCTTAATAATAAGGAGTGAGGAACTCACATTCCAGAAAAAAAATCTATGACACAAGAGCCTGGTTTATTCACTGAGTAATTCCTTTAAAAATCCAACCTCTTTGGCCAACATAGCTGAAGAGGAATGAGCAACAGGAAGATCAGAATAAAGCTAGCGGCAGGCAGATAGTAGATCACATACACACCTGAGAATGGCCAGGACAAGAAGCTTAGATTTGACTTCTACAAAGAAGGGCAACCCTGGAAAAGCTTTTAGCAGAAGAGTGGCATGCTGTGATTTATGTTAAGAACTACTTCAAAACGTCAGCAATTATGTTAATTCAGATGAAATTGTTCCTATATCAGGTTTGCAAGAAAAATCTTCAAATAAGGTAGCATTTTAAATTTTTCCTTCAATTACTGAAAGAAACAATTGTTGTTTTATTAGATACTTTATATATGAGATACCTTGTGAAATTTAGAACTCAGTTGAAGCTAACATCATTTATATGTGTGTGAATAAAAATCTCTTATTAAATACACGATTTACTAATATTTTCTCCAAGTCTATCCATTGTCTTTTTACTGTGTTGAGAGGATCTTTTTTTCTGTATTTTATGGAAGGATCTACAGGGTGTTCAGGGTCACTAGATTGGACTCATAGTGATTCTCCTGGTTACAGCCTCCCAAGTGCTGCGATTACAGGGATGCACCACCAGCTCAGTCTCAGTCGCCTGTCTCAACGCGCCTCGAGGGTGGGGCTGGCATGTCAGGCCCGGGCATTGAATCCCTGGCCCCTAATTTGCTGAGCTATTTGGCTGGCCCTTTAGAGGATCTTTTGATACCCACAATTTTTAAATTTTCATTAAGTTTAACTTTAAATTTTGTAGCCTTTACCTTGAATGTTTTGTGTTCACTTGATTCTGCTGCTTTTAGCACAACACTTCCACCTCTGACTGGTGGGAATCTCTCAGAGAGGAAATAATCTGTGTTACCCTTTCCTTAGAAAAATCTTCTAGTCTTTAGATAGAGATGGAAAAGGGGGACCATGGATATAGCTCAGCAGCACAGTGCCTGCCTCACAAGCCCAATGTCATGATTTTGATTCAAAATCAAGATTGCCTATGAGGAAAAGGGCCATCGCAAGAAATAGGAAAACAGATCTGGGTATCTGCTTTCTATTTATGTAAGTGTAGCATTCATGTAAAAGAGTGTGTGCATGCTTTAAAGAAAAAATAGATGGATTCTCTAGAAACACTACCATTTAGACAATGAAACAGGGTGTTACAAATACCTGTCCCCTAAAAATTCCAGAGCTTCACCATAATTCCATTTATCCTCTCAGTAACTATTAATTTTGAGGTCTGTGTCATTTATCCCTTCATGTTTCCCTCAAAACTAATACCTTTATTAAGCATTTCATTTCAGGGACATGATATTGTAATCTTGTTTGTTTAGGTTCTCTTTAGTAGTTTTAAATATAGTTTCATCATTTTAACTACAATGATCTTATAATTTTTGTTAGATGGCTTCCTAGAAAAGTTATATTATTTTATGGTATTGTATTCTTTTTTTTTTTTTTTTGCGGAACCGGGGATTGAACTCAGGCGCCTGAACTTGCCAGGCAAGCGCTTATTCTACTGACCTATTTACCCGGTCCCTGTATTTTTTTATAAATTGTATATTTTAACTTTTTGTTGTTGTAGAGGTATAATTAATTTGTATATATTTGTATATAGACAGCAATGCTGCTAAATCTCATTACCACTAATACTGATTTTTAAATTCTTTTGGACTTTCTGTGTAGACAGTCATCATATCATCCGTGAAAAATGGCAACTTTGTTTCTTCTATGTAAATTGTGCCTTCTTGTCCTGCCTTAGACATCCAATGCAAGATATCTCTCCTTGGGATCTTAAGTGAAATTGTTTACAGATTATTAAATGCTTTTCTTTTTTTTTAAGATTTACATTTTTTTAATTATAATTCTTTTTTTAAATATTTATTTATGTGTGTGTGCGTGTATGTGGCCAGCTCAGCCCACCAGGGGGCGGGACTGGCTGGCATGTGGTGCTGGAGGATTGAACCGCGGTCCCTGTGCTTTGCTAAGCTTGTTCTAAGTAGGTGCTTTAGACCACTGAGCCATCTCACCAGCCCCTTAAATGCTTTTCTGAATCTATCAAGATTATATTTTTTTTCCTTCTTTGAACTGTTAATATAGTGAAATAAATTAGCTGGCCCTTACTGAAATAAGTTTGCATTTGAGGATAAACTTGGTAATGGTATAATTTTTTGTGTACATTTGACTGAGTTATTATCTAGCTCAAGATTTTTCTGTCAGTATTTCTAAATGATTATTTCCAGTGCATTTTCTGTCTAATTTTAGGATTAGGGATATTGGCCTCATAAAAAAATGAAGTTAGATATGTTTTTTTATTTCTATTCTTGAAAAGTTCATGTGAGATTATAATTATTTATTACCTGAAAATTTGTTAAAACTTGTCCATCTAGGCCTACTATTTTCTTTGTGAGAGGATTTATAAGCACAAGTCTAATTTCTTTGTACCATGTTGTGAAATCTTTTAGTTTTAGAAACTTTGTAGTCCTATGAATTGGTACATTTTGTATGAAGTATTCAAGTTAATATAATGAAAGTTGTTTATGGTCTTCTACTTTAGTCCTAGTTGTAACTGTACCCATGACCTCTTTTTTATTCTTAATAGTCCTTCTATGTCTTGCAATTAGTCTTGCCAAAGATTTATTTTCTTATTTGTCAAAGAACCTACCTATGACTGTTAATCCCTTGTACTGCTTTTTTACTTTAATGTATTTTACTGATTCCTGCTTTTATATTTATTGAGTTTTTAATTTCTTTGGGCTTATGTTATGTACTTCATAGTACTAGTTCAGCTTTGATATGTGATAATTGCAATATTAAGTGTTTTTAATGCCAGTATTATTTCTTTTTTGATCTAGAATTTTCTTAGAAACACAGAATTTTAAAAATTTCCAAGTGTATGTGAGCTTTTGTATTTATTGTTCACTTATAATTTAAATAAGCTTCTTACTTTAGGATTAAAGGATTCTTTAAAATTTGTTCACCCGTGTGTTACCATCTAAAACATGATTGATTGTTGAATGTTACATGTGTTTGAAATGTTTATTCTGTAACTGTTAATACATGAAGTTTCTATGTCAATTAACTTATTAAATCTGTTTTTATATCCTTCTTGACAAATGATCTCTTTAAGCTATTCATAATATTCATAATAGTAATATGTTGAAATTAGCCAATATTATGATGACAGGTCTATTAGTTTCTTCTTGTGGGCCTACAGATTTTTCCCTTATGCATTTTGAAACTATTTTATTTGCTCTTAATATTTTTTAAATTGCATTTTTCTGGGGAATTATACTTGTTACCATTGTTTAGCAAGCTTCTTTGTTCCTCATTATATTTTTGTCTACAATGCTATTGTGCTTAATATAAATGTAGTTGCTCTAGTATTCATTATGTAAAGTGAGTATATCTTATTCTATCCTTTTATTTTCAACCATCTCAAATTCTGTTCTTTTGGATGAGCTTCTTATAAATAGTCATATTTATCAGTCCAGCATTTTTTTTTTTTTTTTTTTTTTTTTTTTTTTTTTTTTTGAGACAGAGTCAGTTCAGTCTGGCCTTGAGCTCACTTTGTAACACAGGCTGATCTTGAACTCACAATGATCCTCTTACCTCAGCCTCCAGCATGCTGGGATTACAGGAGTGTGCCACCATGCCCAGCCCTCAGTCCAGTTTTAACAATCTTTTAACAGTTGTGTCTACTTTTTCTTACCCGATTTTTGTATGGTTTCTTTCCTGCTTAATTTTTTGATGCACTAAAAAATTTTAATGATTTTAGTGCACTTCTCCCCTTCCCTGAGTTTGCAATTTATAGACTCTTTTGTTTTTATCATGACTAAATTTAAAAATTTACCAGGTATATATAAGTTAATAAAATCTAAAAATTAAGCAGTGACTCACTCTGTTACTGAAAAGTACAAGAACTTTAGAGTAATTTAAAGTCCAATCATTGGGGCTGGCGAGATGGCTCAGTGGTCTAAAGCACCTACTTGGAACAAGCTTGGCAAAGCACAGGGACCACGGTTCAATCCCCCAGCACCACATGC